GGGGTCAGCATCCCCCCCAACTACCTCCTCCCCCCCGCCCCAGCCCCTCTGCCGGGCTGCAGTTCTGCCAGCTGAGTGGGAGACACAGAGCTAACCCCAGCCTCACCTGCCCCCCCAGACCCAGCTCACCTGTTGTACCAGTTGAAGAGCAGCCAGTTGACCCCCTCCAGCTGATACTCCCGTAGCTGGTTGCGGTTCTTGTACTCGTGGGAGAGCTCCAGTTTTTTCCAGGAGATGGCCTGGGGACGGGCCTGGCGGGACAGGGGGGACACCATCAGCATGGCGGAAAGAAGCCCCCCCTACACCAGCGACAGTGGAGAGGGGGCTGCCCAGAGCGGAGACAGGTGCTGTCACTCACCATGCCTGGGTGTTCCAGGTGCCTGGGATGCAGCTTGGGGGGAAGGGGTGATGGCAGAGCTGGCTTGGGATGGGGGGGAGGCAGGTGGGGGCTGTCACTCACCATTCATTTAAGCGGGGTGGCTGGTGGGTGGAGCCAGGGTAGGGGGTGGAGCCACAGCTGTTACTCCTCCTGCCTCTGAGCTCAGGGCTTGGATACATTTGGGCTGAGGGGGCGGAGCCGGTGTCTGATGGGGTGGAGCTGGGGGCTGTCACTCATCACGCTGGGTAGAGTTGCCAGGCATCCGGTTTTTGAGCGGAATGCCCGGTTGAAAAGGGACCCTACCCTGGTGGCTCCAGTCAGCACCGCTGACCGGGCCATTTAAAGTCTGGTTGGCTGGCTCCTAGGCGGAGGGACAGCCACGGTGGCTCCATGTGCTGCCCCCGCCCCGGCTCCGCAGCTCCCATTGGCCGTGAACTGCAGCCAATGGGAGCTGCAGGGGCGGTGCCTGTGGGAGGGGGCGGCGCCTGCGGGTGCAAGCAGCATGCAGAGCCATCTGGCTGCCCCATGCCTAGGAGCTGGACAGGCCGGTCGTTTCCGGGAGCCACCTGAAGTAAGCGCTGTCCGAAGCCCGTGCCCTGAACCCCCTCCCACACCCCAACCCCCTGCCCCAGGTCAGAGCCCCCTCCTACACCCAGAACCTCTCATTTCTGGGCCCCCCCAGGAGCCCTCCCTGCATCCCAACTCCCTGTCCCAGCACGGTGAAAGGGAGTGAGGGTGGGGGAGGGGGGATGGAGTGGATGGGGCCTTGGAGAAGGGGCAGGGCAAGGGTGTTCGGTTTTGTATTATTAGAAAGTTGGCAGCTCTAGTGCCGGGACTGGGGGGGTGGAGCCAGAGACTGTCACTCACCACGCGTTTGAGCTCAGGGTGCCGGGCCTGGATGCGTTTGAACTCACGGACCTTCCCCTCGTCCACGTCCTCCTTAAGCTCCCAGGTACTGTCCTCATAAGGCAGGGAGCACCACTTCACCAGGTAATAGATCACCGGCTGCGGATACAAGGACAGGCCCATGGTCACAAGGGGCTCCCACAGCACCCAGCCCCCACAGCTCATCCCCACCCCACTGAGAGTGTCAGCTCTCTCCAACCAGGCCAGGGCCATGTGCAGGGAGGGGAAAATTGGGGGGAGGAGGTCCCCACTGGTGCCTGTTCCCAGTCCCCAACCCCACCCCCAGAGCGAGTTTCCTTGGAGCTTCACTCCAAGCCCCAATAGCCCCCCATAAATCAGGGGGGTTTGCAGCCCCAGAGCCTTGGCCTCTGCCCCAGACCCCACTTCCCCCCTACACACCTCACTGTCCCAGTTTCCCCTTCCCCACACAGTTAAACCCTCCACCCCACCCTGGTCACCTCTCCGTTGTCCTTATCGACACTGTGAGACTCATCCAGGATCCGGTCGACCTCCACGTAGTCAGGGTTAAAAGGCTCCTCATCCTGGGGAGGAGACGTACATAACTCCCCTCGCCCTGTCCCCAGTCTCCCTGAGGGCTAGCACTCACCCACACACCCCGTCCTGGCCAGGGACCCCCAGCTCCCACCCTCCCAGTCCTCCACTGCTGCGGGGAAGGAGCCAGTCCCATGGCTGCAGTGCCAAAGGGACCCCTGGATGCCAATGGGCAGAGGGCACGGCGGGCAGAGGGCTTCACAGGGGCCTCCTGGGTCAGTTAGGTGTGTCAGAGCTCACCAAAGGGTGGCAAGTGAGGTCTGTACTGCGAGCCGCCAGCCCACTGGCCACCAATCCTCGGGAAACGCACGTACAGAGAACATTTATAGAGTTCCGGGTCTGTGCTGGAAATTAT